CTCGTAAGTTTAATATACTTTGATAATCTGACGGAAATTATTGTGTCGATTAAATACGTTAAATCGGATGCAGTTGTGTTTAAACAAAAACTTTCAGTGCACAATAACAAATAAAATCATGTTCATTTTTAATTGACTGTTAAATCAGAATGTATGAAATTTACACATCACAAGTGTATAATTTTTTCATTTATATAAGACACTGAAATCAGTATCTATTACGTCACCCATGTCAAATAAAATTAAAAATTGAGGGAAATACGAAGCTGCTTCTTGATTGCAAAGTCCAACTTCGTCGAATTTCTTAAGGAAGTGATTCCTTCATTGAAGTGAAATTAAAATGTGTTAAAACTGTGCTTGTTAAGTAAACAATTTTGTGCGATACAATCAAAAAGTGTTACATATTAGCTTAGTCTAAGTTGGACAAAAAATTGTATTTAGCACTACTTATTAAATACAAAACAGTGATTTATACTTATACAAAAATAAAATTTACAGAAGTCCTTTTGATACTCTCTAATCAATAAATTTATGGAAAATAATCTATTCAAATTTAGAGCTCATACGCCTATGGATAACATTTTTTTACAAGCTTTCTCTACATTACTAGAATAAAGTTGTGATGTAAAAATATATAATAACTTAATTTCAACTTAATCCTATACAATTTAGTTTCACTCATATTTTTATATTAAAAATCAGCTCGAGTATGAAGAGAAAAATTTGCTTATTATTCAACAAATGACATAATCGTATTGTACACAAATATTACTTTAAAAATACACCAATACTGAAGCTTACATAAACTTCTTACGCATACAAATTTTATGTATCTGATATAACCACTTTGTTTAAAAAAATTAAGAGATTTTAAAATGTGATTTGTGTAATTCAGTAACTTATACACAAATGTTTTAATTTGATACGGAAGTGGTGCATGCCACCATTGATTTTCTACAAATTGCTACTATGACTTCATTACAACGGGTTTGAATTAGTCCAATTTTTAAGCTAAATCAAAAATAACTACTTAATCACGAATGCATTGCAGTTATACCTTAGAAACAATTACAGATACCCTGTTGGTTTTTAAGAAATCATGCAACTTTTGATACATGGTGAGCAAGTATTTAAATGAAGTATTCGTAAATGTGACATCGGAAACAGTACAAGTTGCAGGGCGCAGTCAGTTGATACGTTTGATTACGAAACGATAAATTGTTTGATAGGACGGTTAATCACGCTTAACGCGATTATTTTCACAAATAACAACTGATCGCGATTTCTCATTGCATTTCCAACACTTGTTTAAATATTTTTACAGCATTGCAGTAAATATTAAAGTTTATTTCAATATAATATTTATTCTCAGGTTCAAAATATTAATAATACATACTTGCACGTAGAGATTTGGGAAATCTTCCGTTTGGAGTTAAATCGATTTCACTTCATAAGTGAATGATAAAAAAAATAATAATTTTTAAAAATTATGATAAAGTCGAAAATAAACCTTCGGGATCCTGCTCTGAACCAAATCGGACATAAGTAAACTGTTTGAGATAATTGAAATAAACGTTCACCTACACACGTACAGTGTAACATACTTCATGGAACCAAGATAGAGAATGATTATTTTTTTCTTTTCAAAATTGTTTTATTTATTTTACATCAAAAATAGACCATCTACTATTTACTTTTTAGTTCGTTATTTAGTTTTCTACTTTTTCAATTTTATAACGTCATGAGCGCAAAAATCGATTTTCTTACTGGTTTTTAATTTTTTTTTTAATTTTAACAAATTTACCGTGAACAGCAAGGAAAACTCATAATTTATAAAAAATTCTTAATCTTAATATTCAAATTTACAACATAAACAATTCCAGTTACCACATTCCGAATTTTGCGGAAAACGATAATTACAATATTTATACTATCATTTTTAAGTAACTTTGATAGCTTTTCGTTGAAATACTTTGACAAAATTCAA